AGATGACAGGACACATGTGTCACTGTACACTCTACTGTAGATGACAGGACACATGTGTCACTGTACACTCTACTGTAGATGACAGGACACATGTGTCACTGTACACTCTACTGTAGATGACAGCACACGACATGGGAGAACTGACAGATCAAACAGGACGTTGTCGCTCTGTCTCAAGGATTAACCTACAACACAAACAGTTTTAGGCGTGGGACTTGCGTCTCAATAATTCCATGAATAAACCTTGGTATACATGTACTAAATCTGTAAACCTCTTCTGTTCCGTTTCTTCTGTTTTCCGTTCCTTCTCTTTCTGCGTTGGCGTCACCTGACCAAGGTACCTCCTACCGCCCCTAACGCTGCCTCACAGTGTGCCAGGCAAAATCTTTTAACCATTTTCCGTGGGAGTTTATCATACAGTCAAAGTGTGTCACGGCGCGGTGGAATCAGGCGCTGGTCAAGTTTTGGCCATGTGGAGTTGTTGCTGTCATCTGACAGCTCATTTGTTTTCCTTGCTTTCAATGAAATAAATATATCCAACTATCTTGAATAGAAGTCGAGATATCTGCGATTGAAGGAGGTAGGGTCGCCTGGTTTCAGTGGTGAAATTAGCAAGAAAATGGCCGCCAAAGTTAAGTAACTCCACAGCTAGAGTCCTTGAAAACAGAAAAATGACACATTTTGTGCCTTTCATCAATGTTTTTCAGTAAAAGTCACATGGAAATGTGTATTAGATGGACATAAAAAAAGACGTTGAGCCAAAAAATAAAAATTCGATTAAAAATTTCCAAACTGGGGGGAAAATGGCTGTTTGTCCAATTTCTGTATTTTGACAAGCACCTGATTTCGCTACGGTGTCGTACAAATGTGAGGCAGCGTGGTGGAATCAGGTTCTCGTCAAAATAATCAAAATGAAGAAACCTGCATTTTTCCGCAGGTTTGTTAAGTTTTATCAAAATTTTTTTTTTTAGCTCAACACCTTTCATGCCCAATAAAGAACTCATTTCTGTGTGGATTTTTCTGAAAAACGTTGATTAAAGGCACAACAAATGTAACTTTTCAGTTACCAAGGACTTTAAAACTAAAGAAATAACTAATCTTTGGCAGCCATTTTCTCACTAATTTTGCCTCTGATAATAGGTGACCCCCACCTCCTTCATTCACAAATATCATGACTTGTATTCAAGATAAATGGATATTTTTTTCCTACAAATAAAGACAATTGAACAAGCTTTTCCTATTTGCTATATATTGCATCTTATTGCCTCTTTATCTCTGCCTCATTTTCATTTTGCAAACATTTCCATCCTAATTTCCTGTTATTTGTTTGAAGTTACTTGTGGTAAAAATGAAGTGAGTGTAGAATGGAGTCACAAGTGACCCCAGTGTTACCTGTTTTTGTCCTCCCTCTCTGTAGGTGGGGAGGAAGTCAGTGAGATGAGCTTTGCATGTATGTTGAGTACAGACATTCCTTTTCCTTTCGGAATGTTGAGTGTGAGTGTTTGAGCGGGTGCTCTGCTGTGGTTTGCTCCTTCTTTCCTGTAAAAAATAGAACGTCTCTATCTCCCCTCCTTCTTTTTTGTGTGTGTTACTCTCTTGTAACACATCTAATCTTCAGCACTCATACTATATGACCTTATTGTGTTGCAAGTGCTGTAAAACTCTTACTGAAACTAAAGAATGTTGAGTAGAGACATTCTTTGTCCTTTCAGAATGTTCATCTTTTGTACTGGTCTTGCTGAAAGGATTTTCTTTTGTGGGATTCTGTTTTGTGAGTGTTCCTGGTGGGTGTGGGAGAGACAGACCTTTGTGAGTGTTCCTGGTGGGTGTGGGAGAGACAGACCTTTGTGAGTGTTCCTGGTGGGTGGTGGGTGTGGGAGAGACAGACCTACACAGGGAAATTCTGCACCGTTGTACATGAAAGTCATGAGTACATTTCTGTGTTGTTGCAGATTCTTTGTATATTGATGATCTGGTTAATCCAGCCAAAGTTTCCCTGGTGGATCAATACGTTTATTTGATCTTACCTTGTTTTATCTACTTCCTGGAACTGATGGCTAAAACATGTAGCAATATCTCTCTTACCGAACCAGCCGCTACCTCTTACCCCGGGCAGTGCTACTGACTCAAGTGTCTTTAGGCCATTCCCAAAGGGGGGATATTAACATGTTCTTATACACAGTAGAATTGTAAATGGGCTGATTTATCAATGTCATGCTCATACTGTGCCGGAACAACATAGGGGGAGCTGCTGCTTTTTCTTTCCTCATCCTTACTATTGTCATTTTTCCTCTACTTCTTTTGTATGTTTGTCACACTCTTGTGACCTGCTATTTCTGGGGTGCCTTGATAGT